GCAAGTGTGTACATCTTTAAGACCAAAGAGCACTGCCTCTGACAAGGACCAGGCTGAGAGCACTGTATTTCCTGGAACTTCATCCTCTGCTTCCTGATAAAGCATTTTGGTTTCACCTTTTGTTTTCTGATGGCTGAATAATGTAAAAAAAGTATTCTACTGACCTTTTTGTGTAAGACTGAATGTGCCCAAGTTGATTTTTCCTTTGATGCCTGTATTCTAATGTTGCATTTTGTGCACTTAGCTATGTAAGCCCTGAGCTAACCTGGAGTTCTCTGTGGCTGGGGGGTTTTTTGAAGAAAGTTAGTTTAAAAATTAATGCACAGTTTTTTGCCCTTGACAGGTGGCAAGGATAGTAGAAGTTTCTGAAGAGATGAGGAGGAATATGGGAGGGAGCTCTGGTCTTGAACTGATTACCTTGCCTTACGGACATCAGCTGCGCCTTGATCTCATTGAAAGGTAAAGGTTGCTGTTACTCATTTCCAGGGCAGATGGCCAGAAGCTCAGAGCGTGGCTACACTGTACTCCTCATTTCCCCAAAGAATGCTCTCCTGCATGCTTCCTGAATTCACATGTACAGATTATTTAGTGAGATGGCACATAACTTCTTTTTGCATAGGAAATTCTTGAAGGTTTTAAGGCAACTCTACGCATGTAGTACAGGGAAAGAAAGGGGAATGGTATTGAAAGCAGGGTCCTTGGAGCAGCTGAATGCCATCAGCTCCCCTTTACAAGCTCAAGTATTAACTAAAATTCAGGAATCCATCTGAGCATGTAAGTGTACATGGAGGAGATTGAAAGGTAGTAGCCTTCTGCAACTGGGTAGAGACCAGAGGATCTAATAAAGTAAAAATGATCAGCAAAGCTTTCTGTAAAACCTCTGCACAAGTTAAGGGGGACCACTTGGGGTGTTCTAACCCTGATGTACAATTTCTGCTTCGTATTATGGTATTTTGATTGCTGAAATCTAGGAGGGAATGTCACAGGATTTGAGCATGGAGGACAAAAACAAGTGGGGCAGTTTTCCCAAAAGTGTTCATTCATTCATTGCTTGAGCAGAATTTTATGTAGTTCCTAGTATTTTAGAAGTTAAAATATTAATTTAAAGCTTGTGTGTATATATTCCATATGATGTCACTATTGCTTTTGATGCAAAGATGTTGGTAAAGACTTAAGTTTGCTGGGCACACCAGGTAGAAATATACTTTTGAACTGATCTCTGAATGCATGTAAATTTAATAATTTGTAACCAGTCCTATAAATTGATCCACTTACAGGCACAATACCATGGCAATAGGAATAGCTGTGGATATCTTGGGTTGTACAGGAAATGTAGAAGATAGAGCAGCAACATTAAACAGAATCATCCAAGTTGCTGTGGAGCTGAAGGATTCACTGGGGGATTTATATGCGTTTTCTGCCATTATGAAAGCACTAGAAATGCCACAGGTAAAAATCTGTTTCTCTTTATGTTCCAAAATGTGGAATTGTTTGATGGGTTTATTTAATTTAAGCAACTTCTTCAAGACTAGAGAGATCATCAGAACAGAGTCTTCATGACTATTCCATGATTCTGTGACTAACAGTGTACATTTCCTGTGGAGTGCTGTGGAGTCACTAATGGGTATTCCCTATTTTGTTTGAACAGGTCAGTAGATTAGAACAAACCTGGACTGCTCTAAGACATCGTTATACCCAGACTGCCATTATGTATGAAAAACAGCTGAAACCATCTTGCAAAGCTTTGCATGAAGGACAGGATGAGTGGAATAGTGAGTATGAGTGACACTGGTTTCTCTTTAGCCTTTTACCTCTCCCACTACTGATTTTCTGTGTAGGGAGATGAGGCAGCTGCTCTTTCCACAGCTGTGCACTGTATGTTAAAATGACTGTGTAAACTTGTATAATGCAACATGACAAGGAAACAGAAGCTAACAGTCTGCCAACCAAACATCAGTGTGTGTTTGTGTGCCTGTATCCCTGCAGAATACAACATTCTTTCCACACCCATACTTCCTCTTTGTGGACAGAAACTGAAACACTGCATCATCTTCCCTCAAGACAAGAAAAGATCTCCTTCCTCACAGGAGAGTTAATTGTGGCAGATTTTGCTTTTTAGTTGTTTGCCTGTTGGATCAGAAGATGAATCCTCAAATAGAAAGAATCAGCTAGGCAATTACTCTGATTACTTCAAGTGCTCCAGCACCCAATTCTTTGGAGCTCTAGTTTTTAAAGGGGTGCAAGGCAGAGAAAAACATTTCTCAGAACATTTCTACAAGAGAATGGGTAGACAGTGAAAACTTTTTAGCCTCGTGGAATTTATTGGAATGACCCAGATTTTGAAAATGTTTTAAAAAAATCTATTTTAAAAAAAATGTGTTTAAAATCTCTGTGCTGCTCTGTAGTAATTCAGCAGAGCCTTCTCCTATAGCAAATAGAGCTTTCCATCACTAATTTGTCTTGGTCTTCTCCCCCAACTAGTTCGCTGGAAACTGGTAGGACAGGTATATGTGAGGTAAGGTGATAATTTGAAAGATGGAAGACAAACAGTACTTTCCACCTTAAAAGAAGAATACTGGCAGTTACAATACCTTCTTCAACTAGCAGGTTTTAATGTCTGATGCTGTGTTTGTTACCCTCTATCCCAGAGACCATCAGTGCTCCGCAGAACAACATAACAGTGCCACTGCTGATGCCTCTTCTTACCTTGATGGAGCGTCAAGCTGTTGTTTTTGAAGGCACGGAGCTGTGGGAGAGCACTGACCAGAGCGGTGAGATAATGCTGCGGCACTTGGCCGCGGCCCGTGCGATAGCACAGCACGCACAGAGGTTCCACCGCGCTGCGGAGCAGGCGCTGCAAGGTACGAGAACCTGCTGCTCAGCAACAGCACGGGGGGTTCTGTCTCTGCATAAGGGCCACCACAAGTCTGTGTGAGAAATTCCTCTCCTCTCTGACAGGAGCTGAGATAGCAGCAAATGTCCTGCAGGAAACTCAGCCTGAGGACAACATCAGTATTGTTTAAAAGCGGCCAGTAAATTATTCATCACTATAGTTCTCCAACAAGCATTTTTGCTAAACATACTCAAAGTTCTCAAAGTTAATATGCTGACCCTTCTAGCAACTGAATAGAGGTACAGTAAGGACTGAGGATAACTTCCTGTCTTCTGTACAATTTAGAATTCCTACTCATTATTGCAAATAAAACACCACCCGTGATAACAAGATTCTTTACAGCAGTGCAAGATGCAACACTCAGATCCTGACTGCTTACAGCCAGAAAACAGCTACAAATTAGTTATGTGATTTTTTTTTTTAAACTTGCAGTGGAAAAGTTAAGGGAGTGAAATATAACCATTTCTGCAGGCAGCATGTATACATCAGTAATGATATTTAAGGTCAGGCTATAATGACAATTCTAGAACATTAGAACTGAACAAAGGATAGCCTGTCCCAGTGTCCCTAGAGCCATCTGTGTGTTACTAGAATGTCAAAGATGGAAAGGATTTTCACTGTTTTACTAGCTTGTGAAAATCACTGTGCAAAAGGAATGCAGCGCACTAAAGCTTATTTGGGGAGAATACAGTTTAAAAGCCATTTTTACAGAATAAAAAGCATTTGCCTGATGGTGGTATTGTGGGATTCTTTTTACTTACTAGGTTTCCAGCCAGATGAAGAGCTGAGTGAAATCTTCAAGACAGAATTTCAAATGAGATTGCTCTGGGGCAGCAAAGGAGCACAAGTTAATCAAAGTGAAAGATACGAGAAATTCAACCAGATTTTAACTGCACTTTCCCGAAAACTGGAACCTCCTCTAGTGAAGCTGGTGGAACAATTAAGTATATAAGACTCTGTAAACACTATTTAAAATTATATACTTGAAATAACCTTAGAATTCTTCTGGCAATTTGATACTGCACAGACCTCTTGCATTTCACAAGATGTTTAGAACTTTAAATGCACAATGCACACTTGTTTTAAAACTACTGATTTCTAAACAAATTATTTATTTACTGTGACACCAAGTCATTTAATGATCCCTTTAAACAGTTGGTTATCCCTTTATTTCTCCAGAGTTGCAATGTTTTAATGATGCCAATGAGTAAGGGCATTGGCATCTTAGTATTAAGATGAAGCAAACAGTGTAAATAAAACGATAGATTAAGTATCTGACGTGGCAGAAAAATTGTTGTATAATATTCCTTTAATGACTATAAAACACTGTAAATAGAATTGTGATTTGAAGTGTATCTTTATGCAAAATAATTTGCATATTTACAGATCACAGAAATACTGCAGGTTGCAGAAATGATCCTTTATCTGTGACCACAACACAAGGCTCAAATGTCACTGTGCCTGTGAAAGTAGAAAATGAGTTTGTCTATGTGTTGGGACAACTTATGTTTTTTTTAAGACAGCACCTGTAGTGCTTTGGCTTTTGCTGAAGCCTGCACAACAGCTATGCTGCCAGGAATGAATGATGAAATGACAAGAACAAACAATCCAGATAATTAAAATGCTTTCAGACATGAGTAAATGTGGGTGTATGTATGTATTAAAATTGCTTCATTTACTGAGGTGAATGACTTTGGTAAGTATTTTTTCTTTTTCCTTGGATGAAGGCAAAGTATAAGGTGGTGGTAGCACTTTTTACAGGAAATCAGCATAGACAGTGTTTATTATATAAAGTGTTTTAGGAACAAATTCCACTTTGTCACATACAGAATTGGTATAAGCATTATCCTCAGAAGTTGTACAACTATTTAAGTAAGAACTACTGTTAGGGCTGGATGTGCTTGTTGCCAGTAAGCCTGTTTCTGGAGTGAGATGTTACTTAGAGCACTGAAAGTATTTGAGTATGCTAACAACAGAACCAACACCAAAAATCTGTTCCTCCTATCCACACTCCCCACAGAGGTTTCTACCACTACATCAAGAGTTTACAGACCTTACACTGAAAGTCTCCCTGCTGATCTTAACAAAAGACAAATGGGGAAGCTAATTACTTAGACCATGAAAAGATTTTTTTATTCCATGAAAATATTCTCAACAGAGAACACTATTTTTAAACAAAGCATTTAACATTTAGGAAATCAACATGTGCACAAAAAAGGATTAAAAAATTACTGGAAAATGTCAGATGCTTTAAGACAACTCACATTCAGAATTTTAGAATAAGTGATTTATAACTAGCTGTGCAAGTACAAATGTTTTTTCCTATGTTTAATAACCCCCATACAAGTTGCACTATCCATCTTGAAAGCAACCTGCCTCCAAAGGAAGCAAATCCTGGTTTTAGAAAAACAAACAGTAGCGTGAAGAGAGCATTTAGTCCTTTACCAGGCAGCGTTACTACTGACCTGCAAGGCTGTTAGCCAGGCAGACCACAGGCCCTTTAGCAGAAAATACACAGATCACATTTCTTCCTTTTCACAGAATTACAGAATCACAGAATATTCTGAGTTGGAAGGGACCCACAAGGATCATCCCGTTTTTCTCTAACTTTAAAATAAAAAAAGCACTAGATTAAAAAAAAAAAAAGAAAAACAAACAAAAAACCCAACCCCAAGCCCAACAAACCCCCCAAAAACCCCAAAGCCAAAAAACTACCTAAGTAGTTTTGTCAGTATTGAGTAATGTCACATTATTATATAAATAACCCTGTATACAAGCTCCAAAAATCTAAACTTTAGAGTTTAATAGGCCCCATAGTACACTAGGTCAAGCTGTGTAATAGTGGTATACGTAACAAAAGGAATAAACCTCTACACAAGTCACTCAAATTCAGTTTTACTGGTAGTACAGTTTCTAATAACACTGAAATGAAACAGAATCCAGCACTGCTGCATCCAAATATTGCTTCAGACGCCAGAAAAAGAGGATGTTTTAATTATTATTTTATAATATGCTGCTGAACAGCAGGTGGCTGGGTTGACAAGCTTTCTTTGATACAAGTATCCCTCCCCCCAACATCTCTAGTCTAATTCTTATCACCTTAATCAATCAGATATGACGTATGTATTAATAGAACCACAAATGGGAGGCAAGACAACATAAGCAATAGGGGCACTGCAGACAACTATATTTACACGTATAAACATATCCAAATTTCAATTGTTTACAAGTAAAAGTGCACATAGATCATTAACAAAGTATCACTCAAATTTCAACTGGTCCATACAATGAAGCATCACCTGGAAATGGACTAGCACTGCAGTAATTAAACTTGGAACTTCATAGTGAAAAACTAAGAGACAGTTTCCATAAAAATCTTTTAAAAAAATATTAAAAGTCAAATGAAGAGATACACATTTCAATGTATAAAAGTAATGAGATACACATTTCAATGTATAAAATTCACGATGCACCATGTATCCAGTAAAGTAGAGCTCTAGAAAACACCTACCGTGGCTACCTCAGCAGCTGCAGCACTGTGGAAAGAGCTGAGACACAAAGCCCTTGTGGGATACTGTAAGTGGTAGTGTTGGCAAACAGCAGATTTTAGGCACTCTAGTTTAAGGCAGCTTTTGAATGGCAAGTGGTTGACTTCTGAAAACAGTCATTAGCTCGCAGTGGTGAATCCTCTGGTTGTGTTCCAGGTTTTCAGTGCTCACAACAGGTTACTGAAGGGCTGAAGAGGGACCACAGGTCTAGGAGTTTCTCTTGATTGCATTGTAGGCTAGAGCTGAGATGTATTAGTTCCCCAAATTAAGAAAACACATTACGGTCTCTTATCAGTTATGCCAAAAATCTGGAATGTAATGATGGTTGCAGTGGTATTGTTATAGCAGCATACATGGATACTGGGATGAAACTCTAGTGCCGAAGATATTTAAAGAAAATGATTTGTTACAAAATAAGACAAGCACTGATGGCAAAGTGTTACACAGAACATGCCTGTCCTAGGCATGCAGGAGGAGGTTAACAGCGAGCATGGAGGTGGCACAGGCAGACTGATAACTGACATGGTTCTAAGTGACTGCCAATTAAAATGAGTTGGAAAAGAGCATAATTGAGAAATCAAAACATTGCACAAGCTAAAATATAGTTTGTGCACCTGGAACAACCTAGAACAATGAAAATAAAGCAATTTTAGGAGCAGTAGCCTTTTTACTCTGGTAATGGAACTCTATTTTCCTGCACAAATTCAAGATTGTGTAATACATCCTTACCTATATATGGAGATGCTAAGATGTTAGTGACTAAATGTATGTCTGCATGCATTCATGCAACTAGCTTTTACCCTTGGGCCTCCCAGTCTAGTACCCCTCCCCTCCCCACCCCCTCCCCCCCAGCAGCTGCATGTAACCTCCTTCAAGATCTCGCCCATTTTCTCAGAAACCCGCTTCAGGAACCTGCAGTCCAAGAGGAAAAAGAAAAGAACAAAGTTACTGAAGGCCTTTAGAAGATAAGAGAAGCGTGCTCAGTTCTAACAGGCCATTCTCAGTGGCTACACATCAGCCTTGTACTTAATTCCACAAACTCTCAGTAGAAATACGAGTTACAGTTTTTAGATAAGTTTTTTTTTCATAGTAATCAAGTAGTGCAATGCATTTTCCAATCCTCAGTGATTTAACAATGAGGAGAATTACTGTACATTTAAGACCTTGATTTCAAACTAAACACAATACAATTCAAGAGAGTTAGTTTACAGGCACAGATTAAGAATATAAAATCATTCCCTTATCAGGAGCAGAGAGAGGTTTCAGTAAGACATCAAGCATTACATGTGGTCTCTTTTTGTTTGTTCAAGGTATCTAGAGTTAAAACAATGAAGTTGTGTCCAATACAGAACATTCTACATTACAAGTACTGAAAAGGAAGGAGACAGGCAGGTCAGCGAACTTTCTGTCCTTCTTAATCGTAATGTTTTTTCCTGAGTATTTTTTTGAACTTTCAGAATCAGAAAACATTTTCCTGTTTAAGAAGTGAAAGCTGCCAAGTATTCGCTAAGGAAGGAAATTAATAACTTTCAGTAACTGAGTTCAGTTAGTTATTAGAGGAAAAAGCCCTCTGTTTTAATCATATAATTTAAGCTATAAAAGTGGGAACAGTAAATCTTAGAAATCTTTAAAACTTAAGTATTTTTTCAGTTCTCTATAAAAACAAAGTATTCTACAGAACAAGCAGGAATCCTGGTCCAATCCATAGCTGAACTGGATTTAGTGCTTTGTAAAGCAAGAACTCTAGATCAGTTAAACAAAGCAGAAGACATTGGTCAAAATTACAGACCAGTGTAAGATGCATAATTTACTGTGGTTATCTCTGAAAAGAACTATAGCAAACTTCCAATGCAAACAACAGATCATTGCTGACTTCTGTAATTCTTTCCATGAACCTGCATAACTTCTTATTTTTCCACTATTTTCCCTGGAGAATGTACAACTGAAAGCTGCCAGTTTACTGTTAGATATAGGTTACTGCACCTTTGCTGTTTTTCTCTAGCGTTACATCTATATATGATGTTGGCACATAGCCTTCCTCTCCATTATGTCTTCGAGCTCTTGTCCACCCATCTCCTTTGTCCTCCTCAATAATGTACAAGATTTCCCCTTCTTTCATTGCTAGAGTGCCTTCATTATGACCTGGGAGAAACAAGAGGCAAAGAAGTCTCAGTGTTCAGACAGAATTTCAAGTCATTTTTTTTCCCAGGGCACAGTTTCCAAATTATATATAAACAGGAAGAATAAAAAATCTGTTCAAGAGAACATATGGCCAAACAGACGTACAGAAAAGAACCTAGTCCAATTTGTAAAGCTGACCATTTGCCAATAGCTGTGCTAATATTTATCTTAAAACAGCACAAATGTACTGCTCATGAGTTAAAGTAATTCATAAAGTATTTTCACTGATCTTATAAGCAACTGGTTGCTCATACAGTTAATTTACTTTAAATCATTTTACCTGTCTTCTCTATAAAAACTAATCCATGCCTTATAATAAGCCAAGGAATCATAGTGCATGTTGTTAACCTTACCATCAAATGGATATATAGCCTTGCAATGTCCTATAGCTGGTAATGGATCATCATCTTCAAACTCATCATCAAACTCATTTGGATGAGTGTGTTGCTGTGGTGGACTGCGAACTTCCTGATTTGCATCATCCGTGTAGCTCCCTTCAGGGCTATAATGCAATGATTGGAGCATGAGGACTCAGGAGTTCATAGCTCTACAACTCAGAACATACATGCATCACAGAAAGGGCAGACCTGGGAATTCCTGTTAGCAGGTTTTATATTACTGCTAGAGGTGATTTTCTGAAAAAACTGACCTAGCAAAAGCTTAGACTGAATTCTGCTACAAAAACAAACAAATTTGACATACTTGTCTCCACAAAACATGGAAAACTAGTGTGAGCCTCAAGCAATAGAATAAGATAGCATTAAAAGGCACTGCTATTTACTGAGCAGGTGTTTCAATTAGACTATTTTATATGTTACCATAATGGCATGAAGTGACCTCTAGAAGTCAGAGCCAGTAAGATTTTCCTTTAGAACGACGCAGACTTTCAGAGGATAAGTAACAACCATCACCTCCCCTTAACTACCAGAGAGATGTACTGATTCTAGCTAAGACAAAAGCAGTAGAGACAGAATAGTGACCTCTCTCGGCCCTGTGTTACAAGGTGGTTGATATCGCTGCTGTGCCGCCTGTCGCTTCTGGCTGCCACTTTACCTTCAACTTCAGAAAGCCAGGCCTTGGGGAAAAAAAGATAAATACTAGTGTCAAAGAAAACTCGATTCTAAACCAGCAGATTTAACAAATGCACTTAAGTGCATACAGTTCACAGCCACAGAGAGACTGCATGCAGATGTCAAGCCTCATAATTACTTCATGTGAAGCACGAACTTATACTTAGCCTATACTCCATACTAGTCTTAAGGAAAAGAAAAATCTTTAATCCTGTGTGAATCACAGAATAACTGAATAATAATACATTCTTCTGAACAGTTTACATCTTTAATAACACATCCTTATTCTAGCTAGATGAACACACTTGAAAATATGGCACCCCACAAAAAATGCTATCAGGAGCACTTTCTTAAAACAAGTGCTATATTTAAAAGCTGTAAGGCAAAGTACAGTTGTACCAATCATCTACATTTTCCAAGAAACTCTATTTTAGAGTCTAACCTCATTTTTATGTATTTCCATCCGAAGACGGTCCATGTTGCTCATGGTCTCAGTTAATTTTGGTTGCAAACTGCTTGGATCACCCATTTGGGGATTTTTCTCATAAACATCCTTCATTTTGATGAGGGCATCTCTAAAAACATACAAAACACAACAACAGTTATGAAAATTACATACATCAGTACTGATTCATTAAAGCTAAAATAATGTGTGTGAGATCCAGACCCATGATTAGATACTAAGCACAGAGATGAGGAACTACTGATCCCCTACACCTTGCCTAAATCCTTCTCCCATTCTGTCCTCTTAGCACTTTGCCTTCCTTTCTTGTGTTGGGCATAGGCACACAAGGACTCCAACAGACTCTTCTCTATCCAGTCTCAGTACTGTTTCCCATATTGTTTGTTATAGATAATTTCCTAAACATTAGTAACATTCTTAAGGCACCAAGTGACAGCTCTCTTGCTGAACAGACCTAAGCATTTTTTTTAATGCATGATTTTGGAGCCAATGTTTCCTATGCAGTATTAGGATCAAAATGAGTAATATAATAAAGCAGAAGGAAGCAATGCTAATAAGAACCTACATACAACAAACTATGAACTTAAAAATGCTTGTTAATAGCCTGGCCTAGTAGACTGTCTCCTAGTTTTTGAGCACTGTTGGATTAGGTAGAGGACTCCAAAAGAAACAGTGAGAGAACCATGACAGAGCTCCAAAAAAATGCACTCACTTTTGGTCTGTTTCCTTCTGTAGCTCTCTGTTCAGTTCATCAATCCTCTGTTGCAGTTTCTTGCGTCTTTGTTCTGGAGGGAGATGGCTGAAGTCTTCTAGTGCAGGGCCCTGCAAGCAGAAATGCCATGGAACAAGTTACATGCACATACCCAGGCAGCTGAAGTGACATATCCACACATGGACAGTGTTCACTGGAAGCAGGATGGACCTTCTTAAAAACTCTACTCGACAAACAGTTCTACAAAAAGACCGCAACAGAATAAATGCATGTTCTCACTGCCAGTGTAGTCATTCATTCAAGGTTCTTTCTGCCTTCTGTAACAGTTGGCTCACAGAGGTAATTCAAAATTTGTACACTTAATTTTTTTTCTGAAAGGCTGAGTCATGTACCTCCTGTTACATCCACTGCACTCAAAGCAGATTTAGAAAGGACAGAATTAATTACTACAGAATTACTTCAGAACAATAATCTGTGTATATAATAATACTATGTAGATATAATTATTTCTTTCTCTGGAGCGTGTTCTATGGTGATTTGGATGCTACCAAAAGAAAAATACTATATTTTGGATCTTCATTCCAAAGTACTATTACAGTTCTCTTCCAGAAGTTCAGCAATCCTAGAAAACATATTAAAACTTTAAAAGTTCTGATGGATTTTACCTTGAGTAAAACCAGTTCATGGAACACAGAAAAAGCCTTTAAAATATCAAAACTTTGACCTAAGTTTGTTAATCTGAATCCAAATATTGCTCAAATATTCCAACTAACCTTTTTACTATTAAAAAAGTCCAAAAAACTTAGGGAGGGAAAAAAACCTCTTACTTCCCAAACCTTAAAAAAAGCCCCAAACCAAGCAACTTAAAGACCACCTATTGTTATGAACCTAACCCTGCAAACTTGATTGCAAACTTGTGCCAAGATTATAAGCAGGATGGAAGGGCCTGGATATGAAATGCATGGGAAGATTTTTACGTTGTCTTGTGAGTTTGTTGTGAAAACTCTTCCCCTCAGGGTGACAGACAGCGACAGTGTTAAGAAGGAAATATGGTACACGTCATAATAACAGAAGGTTAAATTCCATCTTTTGTGTTCCCAGTTGCCTAAGGAAGTTGGTTTTAGCACAAGAAACCTACTTGCCATTACAGTTAACCCTCCATGGAGGCAAACCAAACTGGACAGCATTTCTTTTGTCAAGAAGAAATTTTACAAAAACTTGACTGTTGAGATTTTTACATCAACAGCCTCAGGCTTGGGTGCCAAGTTTCCAATACCCCCCCTTAAGATCTTCTTGCCCCACTCAACTTCTTAGATCTTTTGCACTTGTAAAAATCAATCTCACTGTTTTTTAAGAATGCAATACAAGACACCATGAAAGTAGGAAAATCAAGATATAATGTTTCCAAAATAAAACAGAAGTGTTCCTTTCTGAAGGACAAAAAAACCTTGAAATCCTTTCAGGTGTTTTTACACACTACAAAGAAACAAAAAGACAATCACATCCTCTGTATCATTCTTCCCTGCAGGTCAGTTAAAATCAGAGTATCCTAAAAGAAGAATCAGAAGAACAGAGGTCGTTTTGTGAATTTTACTGATTTACTCTGCAAAACAACAGTACTGATTAAGGTGTGGTTTTCATTTAATGTAACAGCTTTCTATATTTCTAACCATAAAGGATCATCTCCCCTGCAGTTTTTTTCCCAAATTCAAAGGAGTGCAGTATTCAATATTTGTTCTTTACACAAATTTTGTAATCTTTTCATATAGTATTTTATGCTGCTTCAACAATTTTCCTGACAAAGAAAAATCACCAAGTATTTCCATCATGACCAACTCGTGAATACTGGTCAACTCTAAAAGTCCCAAGTCGCAGATTTAGTTGCAGCCAGATCACAAGTCTAATTGCCTTACATTAAGCATGGATGATTAAGAAGACTGTGCATATGAGTGGAAAATCTGAAGATGTATTTCAGCACCTGACTTAAAGCAGTTATGATATGGAAACACTTTCAAAGATTACTTTCATGCTATCTTAGGAGAAGTACAGCAGACAGATCAGCACACGGGCTTACCATCTTCACCGACCACTGCACAGTTCATTTGAAAACAGAAAGAAACGGGAAATTATTTACATGCAATGACCAGTTACAAAAATGATTAATGCCTAAAAATCTATCTTTAAAATATTACTTAAGGATTGACATTTTCATTTATAAAAACACAGTTTACTATAAGCACAAGAATTGCTTTAAGAATTACTGAAGAAAATTACTAGTGATAATGGGTACTTTAACTTATGAAATTTTAATAGAAATTTCATTAAACTACTTTTGAATTTTAGTGTTTTGAATAATAGGCTAAAGACCTTCTATTGTAGGAAAAGAAACACACACAGAGCCAACATTGCACAAAATAGCAGAATTTGATGATGATGGACTGATCACTCATATGCAAATAATTTGTTAATCATAGTTCAAAATCCACTACCATGACTTTTACAAATGTAATTTTTACAATGCATTTACTTTATTATCACAGTAGATCTAGAATAAACAAAGATATTTTTTAAGTTTAGAAGTAATTAATTTTACTTTCTGAAAACAGCATTTGGGTTGTTGTGATCTAAAGATGTTTTAGTCCAGATAAAAATAAAGACATTTAAGATTTTATCCTTCAAAGAAGCAAGTAAAACATGGGGGCCAGGAGTTAATCATGGGTTTAACATTCACAGCATTTTGAAGATCTCCTGTGCTTTCAATGACTTTGGATAACCCTTTCCAGAGAAACACCAAGCAACTTTCGAGATTAATATCTCAACCTCACTTATGACTCCCTCAGCACTTGTTAAGGCTGTTGATTGGGGCACACACACAAAATTAGAATTTCTAGCAATGAGGGAAGTAAAGCACCTTCACGAATGATACTTTGGTAGAAAACTGAATACGGTTCAAGGATGCAAAATGGCATAAATAAACTTCCTGTTCCCTTTAAAGAGTCTTCCGAGCAAACACTATTAAGGTTTACATATTGCTGCTGCTGATGCATCTGTTTATGTACCAAATGGCACTGAGCACAGACTGCCATAAGCACTGACACCTTCTGGAACTGCTGAGATTTCAAAGGAGAAGCAGCAGCAGGTAGCAGCAGTACTAATAAAGCAAGTTACAGTTGCTTACACCTTTATTCAGTAACCTACTCTTCTGCTACTGTTTGATGCTTTTGCTCTACATCACAATAGAAGAATCTACTGCATGAAGTACAGAACGAAGAAAGACTGGTTTTGTGATCTCCAGGGCCTTGAGAGAAATCTTGTACAGGGCATATTAAACACAATAACCAGTATTCTTACTGTATGATATATGCCAACTCATGGACAGAGCTCGGTAGAAGCTGAAGCAAATTAAATACATTTTACACAGGCAGATAGTGACAGGACAAAGGGGAATGGTTTTAAACTAAAGATAGATTTAGATTAAATGTTAGGAAGAAATTCTTTATTCAGAAGATGATGAGGCACTGGAGCAGGCTGCCCAAGGAAGCTGTGGATGCCCCATCCCTAGAAGTGTTCAAGGCCAGGTTGGATGGGGCTCTGAGCAACCTGGTCTAGGGGAAGGTGTCCCTGCTCACAGCAGGGAGGCTGGAACCAGATGATATTTGAGGTCCCTTCCAAACCTTTTTATGATTTTATGGTTTGGTAGTTCTGTGTGTCAGTACCACTGGGACATCGTTTTTCAGGGACAAAAATCTAGAAAACAGCATCATGTATGAGCAACTATTAAGCATTTAATCAAGATATATTATAAAGATAAGATTGATCAATGAGAAAAAAAAATCTGTTAGTATTCCAGTATACATTTATGCTGAAAAGACTTAAAAAATATGTGATAATGTGATGTCTGTTTAAATGCTTGCAAGGAAGTTCAAAATATATAAAAATTAAATGTTTACCTTGAAGATTTTACAGAGATTATTTAATCTTTTGGTATGTTTGAGTTAATTGAGATCTGTACGATACTAGTGATCCTCCCTAATTTTAAATAATACTATCCTATATTAATTCAATTTTACAACATGAACAATGTATTTAAAAAAATCAAAGACAGAGTTTCATTTTCCATTAGCATTCTGTAGTTGTTAGCAGATGATCTTTTGCTTCAGTAAGAGGTTCTAGAACTACTAGTACTGCAAAGGTAATGATTTGTAAGCCAGGAGTCAATACATTTAGTGATCAACAAAACTGAGGTGTAATCAAGACCTGTGCTATCTAATCCAGTTAGTTCCTCACTAAGTACTAAAGAAGAAACATTACCTTCACGACCAGACCAAATTATAAGTGATTCAGAAGGGGAAAGCAGAAACTGTCCTCCATATATACTTAGAGGACCACAAGAATTTTCTAAATAATGGTTGTGGTAGAAAGGGTATTTCCAAGATATCTGGGGGCCTGAAATTAGATGCCACAACATGACTTAAAGAAAATAAGTTTTAACTGAAACTCATTCTATTTCAGAATGACAACAAGGGAGCCTCTAAATTATACCCTTGCTGCAATATAACAAGGTTGTACCTTGACCTCCACATTACGTCAAGAGTAGTCAACCATTCTTGATGCAAATGAGGCAGCAAGTCAATATTGTTTTGAAACATCAAAATATTATTAATTATATCATCAAATGCATCTAATTATCTCATTATTTGGATCAATAAATATCATCAAACATACATAAACTGAGCAGCCTATGCTTTTCTGACATAGCAGGGAAGTGCCAGTACATTTATCACTAGTACTATAAATGTTGCTAGGAAACCATGTAGTATTTCCCATCTACTGACTTCCAAATAAATTCTATTTGCAGAATATGCCACTATAAATTAGTAAATTAATTGGTAAGTCTCAGTAGGAGGCATTTGGTAGTAATTTTTTCAATATTTTTACCCAAAAGAACCTAGGACAAACAAGAACAACTAATTAATCAGAAAATGCATTAAAACTATAATGCTTTAAAAATCAGTATTCCAAAATGTGCTAGCCCCATGTGCTATAGCAATTGATGTACAGATGAAATTCAAGTTCTCCCTTCTTGGTTCACTATCTCATAATCAACTACTACAATTTCAATTCAAATTCAGCAAAGACACCTGATCTATCAGATGATTTTTGTGGTGACTATATAGCCAATGATAATTTACTGCAAAAATGTTACATGATGGTAGGAAAACATTTGTGAATGTGAACAACAATGAAGAAAGGTACCAAACACATGCTGAGCACCCTCTTTATAACACCTTTCATTTAGGCACAAGTATTTCAATTGTGATAAAGAGTATTTCTATTTTATTTTTAATCTGTTGGTAACTTCTGTATAGTATGATAAAAAGTATTCTAGAAGTGACCTTATAGCTGAAGTGTTACTTTTAACCAAGTAAGCCTTATAACGAGGGTGAAGAGCATTAGAAAAGCCACATCACAAACACACTGTTCATAGCCCATCATGCATTTCAACTTGTTATTGAACTTACCCCTCTTTTGAGGCTTCTGAAAGAAGGAATTCTGGGCTTCCCTGTTTTTATGTCACTCATGCAATAATGCACTGGTTCAATGGAGAATATGGGATACTGGGACCCATTAGGAGTACTGGATGTGTATAAACTAGTAGGGGTTAGGGGTGGGGATTGTGGCTAATGTGGAAATAAAGAAAGCAATAAATAAGCCAAATGTTCAAAGTGATTTTAAAATGAAAATTCTGTCTTACAAAACTAAAATTTCCATCCAACACAGAAACAGCTTGTAACGTTCCAGACATATTAATACTATAACTGTATTTGGTTTAACAGGGTTTCTGTCATGAGTTAGTCTTCAGAGTTACAGGTTGCTGCAGAGAATGAAGGAACATTCAAAAAAGCTTTAGACTCAACACTGCCACAAGATCCTAGCAAGATCCCGAAGTTCCCTGTCCCTTCTCTTAAAGTTCTCCTATTGCCAATTTAGTTACAGACATTCTGGAAGCTCATGCATTCCTGCTCCATGCTTCCTCCTACATATTGAGGTACCCTACCAGGTTAGCCAAGACAGAAATATTAGGTATGTCTATGGAGAATGACTAAAACAAGAAGTATTCTCAATCTCTGTAGTCAGGCTGGACTGACACAATTGCTGTGTGTCATTCTTAATATCATCATGAGAACTTCCTCCTTTTTCTTCAAATTGCTTCTCTCGTTTTTTGTGTCTCAAACCTCTGCTGCTCTTTCCCAGTTTAATTTTTCTGTACTATTTCCACTGCTGTACAAGTCATTCCCTTTCAAAAAGAAGTTTAAGTCTTTGACAACATCAAAAAATAGGTAAATGCATATCTGGAAGTCAAGACCAGCCATAGTTTCAGCTAAATGAAGGTCCAAGGGCTATCATGAATACTCTAGCTGTAATAAATCAGCTAGTTTTGTATTAGTTAATTTAAGAATATATTTTAAAACCTGTGAATAGTGTTTGGAATTAAATGTATATATCTTCTGGTAAGTATTTTGCTCCCAGTTGCTGTTTTGTAGAGCACTCCTCCACCCTCCCCAAAAACAGGAGAAAGAAAAGGAACAAAATCTTTCATTTTGTCCAGGTCCTTATGAAGGGATATGTAGTCTGTATACACATATGTACACCTGTGATTCCATACAGAAAACAGTAAGGCTGACTCTGAAGGCTACATACAAAGTGAACAAACTGGGGAGAAGAAAGAGTAGGGCAAGTCTTGACAGCTTTCTTCAGCTGTCTTCATACTAAGGGACTTCTTATAACTACAGTAAATGCCAAGGTCCAGATTGAAAACCAGGGTAGATTTACAGACTCTCAGAAAGATGTCTTGTGGCCAAACTGGCAATTATGATCTGATTTTAGACTAGGCTGAATCTCACCCACCTCTGCAGACAAATGCAATAAATATGCTCATATATTACTGCATTTAAACTATTATCAATCATTAAATTATATTGCATGAAAAGCAAACAATCAGTTTTCACTTTAACACACAGCTGCAGTTACATAATATACTGAGCATGGAATAAAAAAAATCAGCTGTATCCTTCCTTTCTATAAAGATATGCTTTCTTGGAATACTATCAAGGAGGAAAATAATTCCTACCAGTAACAGGCTCTAAGAATAGTTTCCTGTAATAAATGACAGAAACTGGCTTAGACCATTAAAATAATCTCATAGAAATTTGTGAGAATCATTAAAATGGCTCACTGATATGCTCCAATACTAAATAAAGACACAGCATAAAATTTAAATATGTATATGCTCCATTATTCATTTTTATATAACTAATGCATGTATTGACAATCTTTTTTGTTGATGCATGAAGGCATCTTGCACAGAAAGTGTTAATTGTAATTCATATCATAAGACAACAAAGGAGTCATTTCTATGCTCTTAATTTTTTCTTGAGCATAGAAATATTTTTACCTGTTTCATAGTAATACTTTCTAGGACATTTACCAGTATGGAGTTTCAACACTAAGTTTTATCAATGAGGTATCATAAACTTTAATGTTTTCAGACAAATCTCAGAAGTTTTCAAAAGCAGCAGGTATAATAAAAATCTATATAGCACTTCTACATATAAATGTGACATTTAGAAGGGGTTTGCTTTTTATATTATAAAAGAGAGATCTGAAGTCTGGCCGATTCCAAAGCACACTCCCCCTTATTTTTACATTCACAATTAACACCTTTTCTATGCAATTGCAGAAAGTCTTTACAGAATCTTAGAAAGATTTCCCATTACAGTAATGGGAAGCTACTTTTATCAAATGAAATTAAACATTCCCAGACACAAATCAATAGAAGGAACATGATAAGTATCCAACCCTACTCCAGGCTTCAGATCTCCTTACGCATATTTTAAAAGACAGCGGCAGGCAAGGGGAAGGTTATTTTAAAATAAATAAATTTCTGCTTCCATGCACTCTAGATGTTCACATTTTAATTTTCCAAATAATAATTTCTTAATTGTTACCTTTGGTTTCTTTCCAAACAGCCACAGCTTTCCTTTAGCCTTGCCGACTGTAGTTTTTGAATCAATTCTCATTCCTTCCTGCTTTGGTGTACTGATGGTTCCATCAGAGATAGTTCTGTAAATATTCTGACTGTAATCTTCAAATGGAAAATCTCCAGGAGGTTCAAAACCAGATTTGAAGCAGTCTATCACTAGTTGAGAGTCCTAAACATAGGACATAAGGAGTTTAAAAAGCAAACCCATCAAGAACCAGAGAGAGAAAAAACGGGGAGACAAATTTTTCTTTTAATTGTAGAGATGCAGAGATGGGAAAGTAAGAGCAAGCTCCAAACACATGCTTTTGGATAGAGTGAGTTAAGATAACATATGTTTTTTTATCTCAGCAGTGTTCAAAGCACACTCTGCTATTCAGAATCCATACTTCCCAAATACTTCCCAAGGGTTATCACAGATTTAAAACAGGACATGCTTTAGGGACAAACTACTACTCCACTTTTTGATCTTTCAACATTGGCACAGAAATGAAGATAACACTAAGAAACTAGATGTAGTAAGGTATAATTGGGAAGAACCCGTATTATAAGGAATAAGAAAGAAGTGCCAACAGCTGCAATCAAACAGGACATGGAATGATACTTTGTTAACTGAACACTCTTTACATGATTCAATACCACATAAAAGAGAAAATACCAACCACACTGGTATTCTAAGGCATTTCAGGATAACCAAAACGTGTCCAAAACCAAACACAATAAGAAAGCAACAAAGATCTTCAGATGACACGAAATCAATAAAACAGGGAGAGAGCAGACACCAAAAGTGGAAGTGATCACTTAAGGTTTGAAGTCACCACACTTCTCAAGCAGGCAAATGTATTTGACAACAGGAAGAAAAATGCACAGGTTAAGTCAGCCTTTCCCCTCTCCACAGCTTCCCTATCAGTTCAATTGCTCACGCACTTTCAAAAAGTTACTCAGTTCTACTTACTCTGTGTTCATCGACTGACTTTGCTGCAAGGATCATCCCTTCTAAACACTTAGAGATTATTGGAATAACTTTGCGCTCAGAGTCAGCAAAGCCTTTGTAACATTCACTAAGCTTGATAGTCCTTCTTTCATCCATTTCTTGAAGTTGCTGCAAGTGCAAAGAAAGATAAAATAAAGCTTTCATTTGCAGATTTTTTCCCCTTGATCTTGATATATGCAGTTAATTGTGGTCACCACAGTGTAGTACAGAATTTCCGTGCTTTCCTAGTATTTTTATTTGCTTAACAAAACAGAACTTGAAAGTTCTTTCAGGCATAGATTTACGATGCCTAGAACAGTAGTTATGAAGAGTTTATACACTTTGATTTCTAAAAATTATATAAAGGACTGGACTTCCTTTTCCTCCTTCTTGAATAAAGTCCATGTACAGTGTCTATGGGCGACAAAGTTTAAAGTATTTGTTTCATGCCCAAATGAAAACCACTATGAAGAAATTTTACTGATTTCCACATCTCCTCACTCTCTCCTTTTAGTTCCAAGTAATTTCTCTGGTGATAAATATCTCCATCTTGCTTTTATTTTTATACTTTCCAATAAATACTAATTATTTAAAAAATAGGGAAAATTTAAATTATCTGCAGTTTAGACATGATCTCTGATTTGAAATACAAACCATTTCCTTTAGAAGTGTGCAAGAAAATAAAGAAAAGAATACCATTATATAAGATTTGCAATAAAAGTTTACTGGAACAGAACAATAAAGAACAAATTCAAGAGAAATACTATTAAGGTCATAGTCCCGGACCTTTCACCTAATTGAAGGTGGAAAGAAAACAAAGACCAACAGCACATACCAATAGGTTGTCAAAAACTGGGGAAGAAGTTGGATCTTTCCTGCAACTACACTAAGGCAAATGTCTCTACCAGTATTCAATTTCATCTCTCAAAACCAAAACAACGACCTCATCATGCTAAACCCCTTTCCCAAGGTTTTCCCACAGAATGTTACCAAATACTTGCAAGGAAATAATAAAAGTGTAGTCCCAAGAGAAAGTAGGACTAGGCCTTTTTGCTCTTACTGCAGTGTTCAAAAAACATAAGAAATGTCTTACAAGGATAATGGATTTTAACCCTAGAGAAATAAAGGCAGTAAAGAAAAACTCTGGTCCAAGCTACAAAGATGATCAAACTGATTCTCCTGGGAGTTGACTGCAATTCTTCCATCACTGTGTTAATGTCAGATCTACTGCAGTGCTGCTTAACAGTTAAAATATTAGAAAATTCTTTAATAAGCCAAGGTAATTTCCCCTGTGAATCCCAGACCTTCTATTAAGAATTTTTTTTTAAAAAATATGAACGGACTTGTGCTTCTGGAAAACATCAAGCATACTTAAGTCAATACACCTTCAAATAAAGCCAGTACTTCACTTGCCATTTCCTGACTCCCTGTCTCAGAATCACTTCCCACATCTATTCTCCCACATGGCTCGAGGTACGTGCCAACACACTTTTAAACTCTCCTCACCTGATGCCCCACAAAGTACTTTAGTTTTCCAGTCTCTCTGTTTTTGAAAGACTGTTAAAAAATATCTTAATAATTACATAAAGCATCACAGGAAATCCCCATTTCAGAATCAAATTGTTGATCTTTAACTTTTTTTATGTTTTAGAGAGGTCTGTGGATTGCTGGTAATTGATGAAGCAATGACCAGCTGGGGGCCAGGGCCAGGGCTGGCACTTCTGCTTCCAATCCACCCACTTTACATCTGTGCATGAGATACATTAAACCACAGTCGCCACGTGCTTTCCTTCATCTCTGCCAGAGGCAAAGCATTTGCACACACCCCCAAATATCATGACAACTACTGACCAAAACTCGTTAGAATGACTGTTTCACATGCTTGCTGTCACCTACATGTCTCAAATGTTTATTTTGTCAGACCTCTTCAGCAATATTTAAATAAAGAATCTGTAAAATATAAAATCTTACAGAAAATGCAACTGAGCGTTTTTGTTACAAATCTAAGCATAAATATGGTAAGCAATAAGTCTCATGATAAAACACCAGGTTATATCAAGATCATGCTAATTTCTTGATAAAGTTATCCACTAAAATCCTAAAACTAAAGTTTAAAATTTTAAAATTTACTTCTTATTTAGAAGATCAGACATACTTTATCTGTTAATTATTTTACCTTATAAATCTGAGGAATGACAATGTAGTAGTGTTTGTGCTGTTCCCCATTAAAGTTCTGTAGTTGTGCAGCATATTCATTTTTGTTTTCATCAGCCATATGTGTGCGCAGGTTTAATTGTTGCTTGGCCTAAACAGGAAAGTGTTACCAGGTTAAACATGTCTTGTGCTTTTCAATGACACACAGCATTATTTTATTTTACCAACTATGCAAAAACATTAGTCGCAAGTCGTCAAACCCGAGATCCTTATAACTGGAGTAAAAAGAATGTGAGACTTCACATCCACTGACACACTACAAACCCACTTGTTGCATACAGAGAAAGCAATGATCATTTTAGCTCCCTTAGCCACCCTGCTTAAATGCATATTCTAAAAAACACAGAAGTGACTGAACATATATACTACAAGATACCAAAGATCAGAAAGAGTTCTTGTTTAAGGAAGACAGTCATCACAACCATCCAGAGGGACCGTCACAAAGTTCAACAAGGCCAAGTACAAGGTCCTGCACCTGGGTCAGGGCAGAGAATGGATTGAGAGCAGCACTGAGGAGAAGGACCTGGGGATCCTTGCAATGAGCACTCACAGCCCAGAAAGCCAACTGTGTTCTGGGCTGCATCAAAAGCAGCGTGACCAGCAGGTCAAGGGAGGTGACTCTACCCCTCTACTCTGGTGAGACCCCACCTGGAGAGCTCCCAGCACAGGAAGGACAGGGACCTGCTGAGGAGGGTCCAGAGAGGGTCATAAAAAAGAACAGAGGGCTGGAGCATCCCTCCTATGAAGAGATAGGCTGAGAGAGTTGGGATTGTTCAGCCTGGAGAAGGCTCTGGGGACACCTTAGAGCCCCCTCCAGTACCTAAAGGGGCTACGAGAGAGCTGGAGAGGGACTTTTTACAAGGGTCCTAGTGATAAGACATGGGGGGATGGCTTCAAACTCCTAGAGGGCACATTTAAATGAGACATTAGGAAAAAATTCTTTACTATGAGGGTGGTGAGGCACTGGAACAGGTTGCCCAGAGAAGCTGTGGATGCCCCATCCCTGGCAGTGTTCGAGGCCAGGTTGGATGGGGGTCTTCAAGATCCCTTCTAAGCCAAACTATTCTGATTCTATCTAAGCAGCATCATCTCGAGATTAATGAAGCATCCTCCCTTCCCATGCTGCCTTACATTTCACTATAACTTTGATTTTGCACATAATAAGCAGGCATATTTTATACACGATTTTATACACTCCTTTAATGTTGTTCCAGTAGTGATGACAAACATGCAAATAATACATTATTTTTAATAAAGGCCACTGCCCTTACCTTCTCAACATCAGCCTTTGTCGCATTAGTGTCATTGTCCAGTCGTTCATAGCTTTGCTGTGCCTTCTCTGCCTCTCTGCATTCTCTCTCAAATTTCTTTTTGCTCTACAAAAGGCACAAATCTACTGCTTCAACAGCCACTTTTTCCATTCAGTTTCATATATTAATTCTGAATTCTAAACATCAAAGCTTCCATCTAAGTATCTTAAATTCACTAAGTACCTTTAAATAAACACATTGTTATCACAACTAGATCTAAAAAATTTTCAACTTTTCTATTTAAAACTTATTTCCTTGAAGTATCAGCAAGGAAACTGCAATTATGCTACAAAGTACAAAATACACAATAATCCATTACAAAGAGCCATAGTTTATAATAATCACATAAGTCCACTTTCTAGCCTGACTTCAATAACCTAAATAAAAGTTATGGCACAGGAAACTTAAACCTGAACCTGTATGAGCAAAATTTTCAAGTTCCTTCTTCAGTGATCAATTTTACTGCAGTAAATTCAACTAAATTATTTTGAAGGTAGTCTGAAGGATGTATATACATTACAATCATCATCAACATTCACATCAACTGGCACAGCTGTAGGTAGCACAGACAACAGTATTCAATGTACATGATGTTCAATATATCTGGCTGTTGTCAAGACAACTGCTGTAGGAAAAATGGTTGCAGCTCAAGAATTCAGCATCTCTAGAGACAAACTGCAACAGAGATTGTGAGAGCACTGCTCTCCTGCTTCAGTGCAAAGTCAGGCAAACGAGCTTAGCGTGTCCCTTCAGGGCTGTGTGCATGTAAAAGACTGACTTTGCACTCAAGGAAATACGACTGATTGTTTGAGTTGAACTCTGGGAATTTCTTGCTGAAGGGTGACAGCATCTATAACTTTCACATCTGCCTCTATTCTGATCCTCTGACAATGAATTAAACTCTGACATGAACATGAAGCAAGACTCTGCTCATCTGGGACCACAACAACAAAATAAGAAATTCATCTCTCCAGTCTTGCTTCACAATAATCTGGATCAAAGGTATAATAAATTTCTAAGACACAAACCCAGCAGAATATCAGAATGCATCCTGAATAGACTTGACTGAATTTCTATATTTTCTTATCTTTAAAAGCATTTCTTTGAAGAAAAAGAGGCTTATCATCTGTTCTAGAGACATTCACTTTCTGCATTTCTCTGTTAAAATTCTACTTCCTGGAAGTACAGTTGTCTGTGGTATGCTTGAATAAACCTCATGTAACAAGGCCTCAAACTCAAGTCAAATATGTTGATTTAAGATTTCATCTTCATATAAATACATTGCCATTATTAGCAGCCCAAGGAGAAGCAACCAAAGTCTGTACCCATGTTAAAAATAGATTCCTTTATGCTCATTATGCTGGATAAAAGCCACGGCTTTCCTCAAACATGCACACAGAAGCTGTTTACAGGAGATTATTCTAACCAGGGAACTATAACTACATTGAACTGTATTTTGGATGTTACTAAGTTACTTGGACATTCAGTACTACAGCTAAACATTAAAATCTAAGCAAGACAGTTGACAACACCTCCATTTACACACTATACATTATTTAAGTTCAACAGCAATAAAACCCCAAACACCAACTCACATTATCCATCTGTTTCCAGCACATGTCCAGATACTGCTGAGCCTTTCGCCCTTCCTGAAGATGCTAAAAAAACCACACATAAGTTTAACTTGCCTATCTTTTAGCATTATTACCATTAGTTAGTCCCTGCTCTAGTTGATAGCTGATGATGTGCAGTATCTCCCACAAGTTACTGGTACTCTTTGGAAGACATTACTAATCACATAAAAACAGTACCACAGACGAAAATTACACTGGCAAAAAGAAGTTTACTAGTAAGCACTGTCTCCCAATATATTAATTTTTAGTTTTAATAACTGTAGTAAACCAGTGTATAAACATATAGAATAACTTTAAATGTGTTTTATAAATGTATTACAATGTATTACAAAACTTACTGCCATGTTCATTAAACTGGGTAAACTAATACATCAATTCATTGAAAAACATACATTCTGACATCCTATTTATAAATAAAAAATGTAAAAATTACCATTTTTCTCTCAGTTTTTAGATCATGAGAATATCTCATCAATTCTCCATACACTCTGTGTCCCATTTCTTCTGCAACTACTTCTCGTTGTCCTGCGTAGTCATTCAACTCATTCAGGATGTTAAAAAAGGCAATACACGAAGTAAACCTGACAGAAAGCACACACACACAAACATACATACACAAAAGGTCAGAAAGTTTTTTTTACATGGACTTCTTTTTGCATAGTCTGTACTCCTGATTAAATTTAAAAAAAAAAAACATACACATTTTACAACAAACCTTATCTTAATGCTAATTGAGTTATAGCAGAAATACAAGCTGGGAAAGCCTACGTTAAGCCTAGTACGCACTGTATATGTTGCAATGTCTCTTCAAACACATTTTATAAGAACATGGGGTTTTGTGGATGGAAAAGAAAGAAGAAGAATACTACCTGGAAAGCCCTGTAGTATAGTGGTATCTCCTAAGCTGCCAACTGAGAGGCCTGAGCTTGGGAATGGATACATACGTCCCTAGGCTCGGAGGCTGAACTTGCTGCAGAGATGAAGTGCTTGGTAGTCTTGAGGGTGGAACATGCCAATCATACCACTCATATGCATCCCGATGGATGTTCTAAGGAACAAGTTTGCTATCAGCTCTGGAGACAGCTGCCTGTTTGCCTGCCCACCTCTTGGCTGGAAGTAAGGTGCCACTATGGCTGGCACTAAAAAGGGGGGAAGAGGAGGGGCAAAGGGTAGAAAGTGTGTGTGGAAGGGAAGAAAGGAAAAACAAAACAGGCACCACATTAAAATATACATCTTTCTCTCTTATAACTGTGGAACACTGCTATCCCCATAGGCTTGGTTCTTGGAAATTTCAAATGCCACCCTTGCACTGGAAATCCTATAGCCTGTGGTCCAGGATCTTTACATAGTTAAAAGAGATAGAAGAAATCCTACCATGAATTGTCAGGCACTCTGCACAGCACGTGTTCTGGCTGCAACCTGAAACTTGCCCACTTTTTTTATTTCCTAAGACTTATCACTAAAGAAAAAAAAGTATTGTCCTTTTCTAAATAAATTTTAAAAATGGCTATGGCCATGGACAACAAAACAAGCACATCTCTGATAAAGAAAGTTGCTTAGCACGAATTGTTCCTCCACCCTTAGACATTCACTTATTTGGCCTCCAGAGTCAAAGCAAGTCAGCATTTTAAAAGCTCTTCTTGCCTGAAACATGACCATTTTGTGTGCATTCGAGTCTCAGAATATAGATGCACAGTTACATTTGTATTGCCATAAAAATGCACTGGAAAACACTATTAAACCAAGAAAAAAACAAAGCCTAAGGACACATAATTGCTTTTCTTTAAAAAAAACCCCAAATACTAGACTGTACACAGCATGCTAAACTTCTCCTTTCAAAATTTCAGTTACCTAAAGATTAATTTGGAAGGGAGCAAGTACAACCTGCCATGTTTACTACATTAAAATACTAATAGGTGTAAACAAAAGTTTCATGCTTAAGAATCACAGCAGAACTACAAGAAGCCAAGCAGAATTCTTTTGTTGTCTTAGCCAATTCAATACTTTATCTTAAAAAGAAAAATCCATAAAAGGACAGCACATACTGTCAGTCCTTGTTTGTTTATACATAGAACTTGAAATGCACATTTTTACCTGGGTTCCTCATCCTTTGGTGAACGTTTAGGACAGTACTTCTTAACGAGATTCCTATTAAGGAAGAACGAAAACAAGACACTATTTTAGAGTGTCTTTTGAGAAGACATGCACATAGAAAACTACATGAATAAATTATTTCTTTTTAATGACTTCTAGGAACAAATCTATTCCCTCTGTCATCTTACAAGCGTCCTTTAGATAACACAAGACAGAAATCTATGGCATTTTCAAAGTTCTAAGTCACTTCAACCTAGAACAATATGAAAATATTTTAAAATCTCTATTGCACAGTGATTAGACATAAAATAACGAGTTCTTTATTTAACATCATTTGCACACATGCAGAAGCAGCTTGCAGACAAGAACAAAGCAAATGTATGATCACTGTGTAACATACAGACAGTGCACACTGTATGCTGTACCCATGAGCCCAAAACTCCATGTCGGAATTCAACTTTAAATGTAGATTCAGGTCGATAGTTTTAACCACAGAATCTCCAAATCTTCAATAAAGGACATTTCCAGAACAGAAGAGGCAACATCTCTCTTCAGAAAAAAAGATTTTACAGTTTGCCCTACCACCAGTGTTGCAAATATCATGTTTTTAGAGACCAAGCAAATCTCTAAAAGACAATCCATAGGACCAGCACTTAACACAGTATCACAGTCCAATTTCTGATAACATTGATATGAAATAATCTGCTTATCATAAAATGCAGAAAAAAAGAGGAAAGGAGGAGTAAGAGAAGATTCTAGGAGAAAAAAATCTTTCATGTAATGTTGTGTACCTCATCCCACTGTCTCTGTGTAACTTTAGTTGTTACAAACTATGAACTACCTTACCATTAAAACATGGGTGCTAATTTTGCTTTCATCTAAAATAACCTTGTGCAGTTTCTCAAATCCATGTATCTGGAAGTCATCTCTACAATACAAGAGTACACATAGTGAGATTATGTCCAGCCATGAAGTATATACCAAAATCCGAGCAGGGAGTTGGTGTGGAAATAGCAAGCTCAGACCCTCTGTCTGCTTCCATACCCTCTGAGACTACAACCAAAAAAGCACCTACGATAAGACAAATCCTCTTCATATCAAAATATACTAAGAAACAGAATAAACACTGAATTTTTAAAAATTGTCTACACATTTTATAGTAACTTTCTTACTGATGTTCAAGCAAGAATCTCTTCTCGCTATCACCAGAATCCACTGCCTGTTGTAACATTCTACTTGGTAGTGATTCAAGGCAGACATTTTGATAGGAAAATGCATAAACCTGAGTAATAGAAAAAAACCCCAATAATATTCACTAAGTAACTTTTCTGTGTTCCATTTTCCCTTACATTTCTGCTTTGCTTCTCAGTGCTTATTAACGAATAGGAAACTCCTAAAATTCACCTTATTATTATTCAGACAGTGAAATGCATAACACACATACAGTGCTGTAGCTAAGCAACCACACATGAGCCTTTTCACAGGAAGGTTTTCAGAGTTGTTAAAAATGAGAAAAGTAATGACTTACTAAATCCATATAGTTTAAAGAGAGAGAAAGGTCACAAATAAAGGAGGGAAGGGTCACAAATATAGATTATTTACTGGCATGATGATTTCTGTTCTGCTTTCATTCTTTAATGCAATTGTTTACTATTCCTAGAGAGAAAAATATTATATAATCCTTTCTCCTACAGTTTCAATAGTGAATTCTGTCTACCTTGGAATCAAAGGAACATGCAGTTTTGAGACACTGTGTGATCAGGATTTGAAGTTCAATAACAGCACAAGATACAATAATCAAAGGCAGTAAATATGAAAAGACAAGCAAATGCAGAATTTAAAGATCAAAGAAAAAGCCAGTGTTCATCTGAACAATTAAGCATAAATGGCTTTTCCAGGAAGTGAATACCAACACTTAATAAAAACAGAGAAATTCAATTTAAATCTTTGCAGGAGCATAGGTTGACAAGCAGCCAGTGTGAGCGTGGATCTGAAGAGTGAAGCACTATTTCAAAGAGGAGCCAATTGACACTTTTAAGGGAACGTAACATTCTCTAACATTTTTATCTAAATCCATGCCTAATCCTCAGAATCCAAATATGGATCTGAACTAGTTTATAAGAAAACTGCACAAGTAATTGGGTACCATCAGAACGGAATCAAATCTACAAGATTAATTGCTCTATGCTTCCTTAGAAAAGTGTAGTTGATGACACTTTAATCCTCTTTGGAAGTACAATGTAGACAAGTTCTACCACACTGTCTCTTACAGTCATCTGAAGGCAGATTTCATACAAGACTAACCCCATGCAATTGTGTTGCCCCTGTAGTTTTATCAACACTTCTTCATGGTCTCAGGTCAACACCAGTGAGACAGGAACCTGATTTTTAAGAGAAGTACCATCTCAGTCACATAGGCAGAAGTTTCAAAAAGCACTCCAGTTATTAACTTAAAATTACTTATAGTCATGCACATAAAATGTCTACACAAAATTTAACAGATGTGTGCAAAAATTGTGTTTATCAACTCAAAACTTTGTTTTCTTCCATCAATTAATAGAGAATGTAAAGAACAGGAGCAGCATCATCAGAACAATACAATTTCTATTAAGGCAGCAGTTCAGGTGCTGTGGTATCTGCTTACACTAAACCTCTACAGTTTCTATATTATACAACAAATGAGCTTGGGAACAAACTTTTTTTGCTTTCACAAGTTACTAAAATTGCACTGAGTACTTAAAGGCATTTCATATTTTTATGTAAAGTAAAAGTTTAAATATGGTTCTGATGACTTTGGTGTTAAGTATCAGTATCATGAACTGAGTGAAAACAATGACAACTGTATTTAGTAACATGTCATCAGAAGCAGTTTTAACTGAAGCAATGAATCTGAAAAAATTGTAACCTGGAATTCGAGTTTACAAAACTGAATATTCTTGGAACCATTGAGAACTCCTACGTGTAGGCTTGCAGAAACATCACTATAAAAAAACCTGGCACAACCATATTTAGATAAGCAACAGTGTAAACTCTCAGCTCCAATCGAAGGAAGAGAGATTTGAGAAATTATCACAATGATAATCTGTATCCCCAACTTTACATTTCAGCTTACACCCATTTTAAATAATGTTTCCAAGATCATGCATACAAAAATGTGGAAACTATGTCTCAATTTGACTAGACATATGCATATATTAATACCATATTTTGAAAAACACCACTTATACACAATAGTATGCAGGAGGAACATGAAAAACAATTTTCTCAGAGTAAGTAGACACCTCCAGAGATCACAATGTACAATTTCAATGGACAACAAACAGCTCAAGAACAATCATCGCTATTTGCTTTAAACTGACAGTGGAGAAGTTGACCACAGTCAGAAATTTTATTCTGCATGGTAGTTTCATCTACAAGTGCAGGTATAACTTGTATTACTGCCTAACATCACAGAAAGAGCTCCTCTGTCTGCTCGAGTGTCTTAATGCTTCAGACAGGACAAAAAGGGAGTGAACCTTCAGAACTGTTTTGTGTGTGATGATGTGGAAGTAAACAAAGCAGACCTTCGCCTCGCCCATTTTAAGAAACAATGCTGATCAAAAACAGCATCTGAGAATTTAATTTAAAACTTCAGCCAAGAGCCCAGTAATTTGGCACATACTAAATCTAAATTTTTCCAATCAGAAAATATAAACAAAGTAAACAATCATATCATTAAAATGAAATGTGTTAATCTACAGTGTACACTGCAATATGTTTGTCCTGATTCACATCCCTGTAACTCAATAACAGCCTATAATAACCTTTGCAATCCTTGGGGTAATATAATACATTAGTTGAGACCTATGCTACAAAAAACTTTGATCTAACTTAAAGGAGAATTCAAAGAAAATTAAATTAAAGTTGCCTTTTTGCAGAATGAAGTATATTGCAAAGACAAGACAAGCCCTCTAGACAGAAGATTTCAATTTTTCTCTTTTCAGTATCAAAGAAGAATAGCAAGGAATTACTTGTAAACTAAAAACAGCATTTGGACATGATTCTCACCAGCTATCACTTCTGGAATTACTCAGCAATTATAAACTGCAATAACTGCATACAGTAAGAATATAGTGAGTTCACTCAAACAGTTTCTCCTATGCTGTACATGCATCACTTGTCATCTCCTAGAAGACTTGGAACAGCTGTTGCACCTGGGAAAGCCTCATCACTAAGTTGTGACAGTATAAAGAAAAAAAAAGTTATCAAAACGCAAGGGTATAAGCAAAGTGAATATGAATTTCTGCCAGGACACAGACTGAAAACTGTTATGAAAAATTCACTCAAGCTTTCATCATTGGATTTAAGTCTATAAGAATAAGCTCCATCAATGACCTCAACAGAATGTTCACGGTCCACACTGAACCCGAGAGACAGAAAACAACACCAGCATACATCACTAGCACTATCTTCCTGATTAAACTTGTTTTTTCTTGGTCTCCCACCCAAGTACTAAGAGAGCCATAGAACTACCAAGAGGTGATCACTCACCATACTGTTTATACATCTACTAAACAAGGGCATAATTAAATTCAGTTATAAAGTTCACTATGAAAAGAATTCTCAACACTTAGTTTTTCAGATTATATTTCATTACAAAAGGAAAAAACAGTGATCTACTAGAAATTTCCATCTGAGATATTAATATCTATCTCACAGGCCATCTGCTGCCAGCATTAAAGTTCACCAGAACCACAGTCCATCCCACATCAGAACTTCCCAGGAGCTAGCTGCAGAATGGCTAATCCTTCTGGTAAAAATGTTGCTTGATCTCAACCTACCCTGGGCCTCACGACTGTTTTACATGGTCAAAAATGGTGAACACCCTCAAGAGCAACAATGGCTGAAATCAACTTGCTATCACATGACGTTCACTATGAAACAATCAAGTCTCCCCCAAAGAATATATAGGGAAGAGCAGTTTCATGAACTGGTCTACTGGCAGAAAATCAGTCACCCTGTGTGCTGTCCAGACCCTCGTTGGCAGCAGGCAGGAAGTGCATGCATGCACTGTACAACGTGTGTGCAGCAAGACCTGTGCTTCCCAAAACTGTCATACTTACTGCACATAGACAGTCAGTCCAGCCATCTGCCAGAAGGGGTACTCGACAAAGCTCTTTCATTTTTGAAAGACACTTCAAGAAAAATCAAAAATTTTACCCCGAGTAAAATGCTGAACAGAGAAAATTTCCCATTTTTAGTCAAATCCTGAAGTAATAATGAGGTGTTTCATCTTGCTAGCTGTGGAAGAAACCTTTAAATACAATTAAGCAAAAGGCATTTGCTCATACTATTTAATTACAAGATGTCAGTAGATCTGTGCAAATAAAATGTTTCTATTTTTAAACAGACAACTGAAAACAAATCAAAACTGGGTTGTTAACTGTGCTGTGTACGCTTCCAAATTTTCTTTACCTCCTGAACTTCTTCTACACCAACTTTGGAAATGTGGTATTTATTTCCTTCCTCTTAAGAAAAATATTCCTTCAGTAAGGTAATGGATTATTATGTTAAGTGACTATACACAACTGGATCAAAAGAAACTGATAAAGAAATCAAAAAGATTACAACCAGCCTCATGAACATCCATACCCTCAGCTGTGAACCTCATTACTGTATTTATGAGGAAGGATTTCTCAACTCTCTATCTGGTGACAATCTAGTTTGCCAATGATGAGATGATGGAAGAAACCACAGGAGAGAAGCTGCTATCAGTTTCAGTCTGACAAGGGCTAGGCAGCAGCTTCAGCTGAATCCCCACAGGAATTCAAGACAGCAAAGCTTACAGTGAAAGCAAAGATTATGGTGAAGACCAAGTTCACAGGAGCACCTTAAGCTTAAATTTTGTTCTTCAAGCACTGAGTGCACCTTACGGTAAAAATCAATCCTACTTTATTCTGAAGAATGTGCTTCTCTGCCATTTCACTGCTGCTACTCTCCTTGTATGATCCCTGAAGGGAAATTCCTACTGGACCTAAAAGATGTTTCACTTGGCAGCAATACAAAGTTAACTGCAGAGGTAAGACAAAGGGTGGCTGGGTTACAGTCTCACCCAAAGGGAAAAGCTATGGAAAGGGCACACATTAAGGACAGGAAGATCTGCTGCTTTCTCAAGTACTACTCAATCATTTCAATCAGATTTCTTAACACAATGTAGCGTACCTCTTGCCAACTCAACATGAGAAATTAATTAGCAGCAGAGACTTGAATATTGTTGAGTGATATCACACACACACAAATGCAGATAAGGATAATGCACTTTACAACAAACACGCTGAGAGTCGGTGAAAAAAATATTACCATGGTTTTCCTTGTTCTGAATCTTTAATTTTAAGTCTTATACCCTTTTAGTTCAAAGATCTGAAGGGCAGGAGGAAAGAGTGGGAGAGAAGGCAAAAACAAGCAAGCAAGTGCACACCCAAAAATAATTTTCTGTGTTGGACTGGTCTGTCATGAAAACAACTAGTGATCTAATTCACTCTGTAAATGAAAAACAGTCATTAAGCACGACATTACATCCTTGCCCATCATCTGATACCATGATTTTAAGTAATTGTTAAGATCCTTTTGAAAAGAAAAAACCTTACCTCAGTTGTTTTGCATAGTTTTGCTCAATTTCTATCCTTTCTTTCACAAATTTTGCATATTTCTCCAAGAAGTCAATGCCCCACTGCGTATGCTTGTCCAAGTTATCGAACTGATCCTTTAAAAACAAAAGGAAACAAAAATACCCAGAATTAGTTAAGAATCACCAAAAATTACACATAATTTACTTATGAGCTGTGCTGTGAGGGAATGCTTGCTACTTGGACAGATGTTATCCAAGTTATAAATCAGTCATGTGTCTCCATACATATACCAGGTTGTACACGCAAGTACAGATCTACCTCTTTTTGTAAAAACAGCTCTAAATACTTGCATTTTAAGCTGTAAGCAGTCTTTGATCACTTTCACAATGCAAATGTCTTTTTTTTCCCCTCTCAAAATCCTTTATTTCAAAAGTAGATCTTTTCCACCAAGACAACACACATAACCATAGACCAGTATTAGGTAAACAGAGATTTGGTAGTTTTAAAATGCAGGAAGTTATAATTTCATTGGATACTAAAAACTATTTTCACGATTACCCACTGAAAGAAAAATAATAGAAATTATAGCTGCATGACTAAATTGGGCGTAACCTGCACATCAAAAACATTTATTAAATCAAAACTATATACACAGTTCATGATCAGCTCCAGAAGGAGATTCCAAAGAAAGTGAACCTGTCCTTAGCCATTAAGAAAGTTATAGTAAAGCAAGGGCACAAAACACAGAGAAAAAGAGTTTAAAAAATAAATTAACACTTCCAAAAAAAAAAGAGTTGGGGTATTTTTAATACATTAAACATCTTGGAAACCAATCCTTCACTGTATTCTGTACTGATCAACAGGTGGAGGATACACAAATTAGGACAAATTGAAATTAAAAAAAAAAGTGGAAATATAGGGATTAAGAATTAGGCAGGAGTGAATAAAGGTACAAAATACAGCCCAGCAGACATTTTAGTCTAATGAATATTCACATTTTATACTAAAAAAATCTAACACAGTGCAAAAATCAAGGACTTTCAGCTTACAACAGCATTTATAATGAATTCTTTTAATAGTTATTTAGTAATCAAAAAAGACAAGTAACTGTAACATCAAAGTTTGTATCCTATATATGCTGAATCCAAATACACTTCACAGTAAATTTAAAAAATAAAAAGTAGAAAAAGAAAAGCAATAAGGCTCAAAGTTTATTTAACTTACACAAAAAACTGCAAGGGGTGTTTATCAGAGGTTATGTTTTGCAGATTCAGTAATTTGCCTGAACCTAATGAATGATGTCAACCTTTAGCATTAGCAATTAAAGGTCAATTTCAACATGCAGTAGGATGATCTAAAGTTAAATCAAAAAATGCCATAAAATGCTGAAGGGCTTAAGACTCAAGAAAAAGACATTCACTTAAAGAGATACCACATCAACACAACTACATAAAACCAACAAGAACACAAATGAAAAGAACAGGATTAAGGTTGCTCTCAAATCTTGCCTTGCAGGTCTTTGTATCCTACACCACAGACTAACAACCACTGCCATTAGTGCCTTGAACACTTCAGTCCCATGGTAATGCAAGTACTGCCAACCAAAAATATCCATCTTGTTCCACCACCAGCCTCTGCTCCAGCCTCTGTATCACACTCTCCACCAAAATCACAAACACCTTCCCTAATCTGTTTGACCAGAGAACCACATAAACACCCAAGAGACAGGAAAGGGACTAAAGACAAGATTTTAATGTATTGTTCTTATGTCTTACTTTACGCCAACTGGACACTTCCACTATAATCTTTTGTCAAATAAAGTGACATTCCTGTTACTGTTTTTAGAAAAGTTGTACATGCTTTGTTTGAGTGTGTGAAAAAGGAGACAGTTACCATGCTGCAGTGTCAAAACACAGTTGCAAATATGCATAAAAACATATCATCAATCTCAAGAAGAATTTCTTTTTTATATTCCACTCATTTTTGTAATTACTCCTACAAAATTAACCTAGCATCCAAAAGAAGTTTCTAAAAGGTGCTTCTGGCATGAAGTCAACATTTAATACCATTAAGAAGAACTGACTTCCTTCAGCACACAGCAGAACAAAGCCTTTGCTGTCCTACTTAGGCTCTTTAGTCCACAAAGCTCTCATTTGCTGCTAAGGTTTCATTAGCATTAGTGAACACCACATTACTTATGTTTCCAAACATGCAACCAGAGAGAGTGGCTTTCCAAATATTTTGTTCAAACAAAAAAGAAGTCTACTGGTGAAAGTTCATCCTCTGCTACTACTATGAAACTGGAGTGGAAAAAAGTAACATTTGACATGCTATCATGCTTTACTAGAAGTATTTCACCACTGATCAAGAGACAAAACCTCTTTTTTTCCCCCTCAATTCATCTTCTTCATCTGATTCTAGAAACAGTATGCTCTGTGCAAAGACAGCTTTGTAGAATTATCCCATAGCTTCACAATTTGTCAAATTATCTATAAACAATAAACCAGTGAATGAAAGTCCGCAGTCACAAAAATCACCTTATACTGCTCTGTAAAGCCACTGAGACTAATGACTAGAAGATAAAGGTAACATCAATGAATAAGCAGAAGGGAATGGCCTTTTCTAAAGGCTTCTAGAGGTGAGTCACAAATTTACTCATGGTCCCCTCAACTTCTCTCCAGAAGCATACATGTTTGAGCTCTGGGCCTCAATTAAGCAAAAAGCTTTCTTTTCATACAGACTGCTACAAAGGAAAATCAAATTAATGCACTGAGATATAAGACAAGTGATGTCTTCAATGGGGAAAAAAAAAGAGCAAAAATCAGGCAATACTGTACAGATGAGAAAATAGCCCAAATAGTTGCAATAAAATTTAAGTCTGTAATTTCAAAATAAATATATCAGTGTATTAATGTGGCTAGCTCCATTACAAGAAATGTGAAAACTGCATTAACTAGAGATGAACAAAAGGCAATTAAAAAAAAAAAGAGCACATCCTACCATATCTGGTGATCTACACCTTGATAATGAAGTATGTTCTCTACAATATTTCCAGGCAAATATATATTGCTGTTTGTCCAGTAACTCCCCACACCTCTTAGCAGCTGAGCAGACAATTTTTGTAAAAAAGTTTATTAAAACTGCAGCTGACTATTATTAAACTGATTAAGGTCAGCTAACGGATGGTGGCCCGAAGTAGAAACTGCCCACTCAAAAGATGGAATGTAGTCCAAACTCCCTGCATTAAAAAGAAACAAATCTGACACTTGACAAGGAGTTTGTGGCAGGTCAATACAGACTATTCCAAAACAAATGTCGCCTCCCTGAATTTTACTTCCAGGTTATTTACTGGAACCACAGATCAATGTTACAAATACTTCAGGTTCACAGTTCTAAAGTTATTTGCAGATACCAGGAAGCTTTACAATAATAGCAGCTGAAGCATCAAAGCAAGGAGCCAAGCTGAACCAAATCTGCAACAAAGACAAAACAGACTCTCCCAGGTTAAACTCAAGATTTACTCTCCCCCTCTTACAGATACTTGTGTTTTCCCCAAACAAGTCTCAAGAACCAACAAAAAGAAAAACACTGAGATCTCTTCAAAGGGGTAGGCATGGACGGAATGCTAAGCATAAATACCAAACCTTTAGTCTTCCTAAAGCTACCAGTAACTAGTCCAGACACTGGACTAGTGTGGGAGGTTCAAACAAAAGGCATTAAACCAGACAGAGATTTTTAAAGGGTTAATGTACTCAGTTTTCATAACTTTGGAAAGCAATTCTACTTGCATTTAAAGCTAGGTTTGTGGTATCACATTCTGTAAAAAATCCTTCTGTTTTACTATATTAATCCTTTACATTAAGTAAACTAGTTTACTGCATCAACATCAAACTGTTGATTAGTCTCCCATTTCACTGACCTCCAGGTAACACAGTTGAAAGTTTTAAGAATCACATTAAACACAGAAGTACATTGACTTACAAGTTTAAGAAACCTATCTCAATTAATTACATATGCAATATCTTGAAAATCTACTTAATAAAACATTTTATTTCAAATCATGATACTTTGCATTAATTACTCTATGATCATTTTATTCTTTTTTGACTCAACTGTACATCATTATTTCCATACTTTTATCTGGCCACAATTTTAGTCAGCAGTTACCTAAGTGATCTTATTTGCATTTTTGAGCACTGGCTCAAGACTATTTTCCCAATTCTCCAGGTTGCCCAGCCAGTCTAAACTTTCAAGTCAGAAAGTGGGAGATGAAAAACTCAATCTCGTATTCTGCTCTCTGAATTCTTAACACTTCTGCAATCTGGTATAAGGAAATATATACCATGACAGCGTTCAGAGTATGGAAAAGCAGGAATCAGGTCTTGTTCAGGGGGAAAAAAAAATGAAACCCTTGGCATCAAAAAAGCCCCACCGCATTTATGGATAGAAATGTTGTATTCTATTATGGAAAGCAATTAATTACTTTCAAGTCCACAGTAATCCAAGTGAGAAAATGTGGGTGATTATATAACTTAACACTGATCACAGCAGTTCTTCTTTACTCCATTAAAGCCCACGAGGGTTTATCAAATGAATCTGAATTATGGATAAACTTAAATGACAGGTTAAATTCTGCATAATGTCCTTCTTTCCTGCATGAGCAATACTGCAGAAGAAAAAAGAACCCAACTCTATTCAAGAAGTTAAATATTTTAAGTTACAAAACATTATAAAGTGACCACTTCACAAATTAAGATTTTATAAAACTCTTATGAAATATGTGAATTGTTTCTATGAAACATTATGCAGCTTTTTTTAAATTTCTTTTAAATAAAGATCAAGGCCTTGAATTAAGTTCACATGATCCAACATTTTACACGAATGACGTATCTCCAGATAAATTAATTTATTTAAAACAAATAAACGAAAGCAATTATAACCCCCCACACCTTTCCAGTGTTTGTACAAAGAACTACCTGATGTGCTACATTAAAAATTATGGGAACCATAATCAGACATAAATGTATTAATGAGAAGTTCCCAGTACTGTAGTGTACCCTTCCTTATTTGTCTTCAGGACAAATTAATTAGTGTAAAATGCTCTAATTATAATACAGTTTTATAATCTACTTTT